AAAAACCACGCAAACCTAAAACTTCTTGAATTCAAGCATTTTTTGAGAAAACTGCCAGCATTTCCTTATCGATGGTTTACTTTCTAAAAAGGCCACTTACTTCTCTCTAGAAGGACGGAAAACATGAAATTTTGCAATATCTTGCGCCACCCTTGCACAAAACGACGTAATCATTTTTCTAATTTCATAGATAACAGAAGACTGTATTTTTTTTACATAACCCCCCCCTTGACTTTAAAGCTGGATCCGCCCCTGGTTTCCAGTTAAACAATTGGAAATGGAACTATTAATGAATTGAGGTTTTCCACTTTAACTTTTAAACTCTATTTTGCATCTTCTGTTTTCTGCTTCCATTGAAAAAACTGTATTTTTCCTCAATTATACGATTCATTAAGATGTTTTTCAGAAATTGGACTTTAAGTCTGTTCTATTCATTCATTCAATGTCTTTATCATTAAAAAATTTAAAAGATTTATTTGATTCTTCACCTCACACTTGAACGCAATGATTAGTGAATCTAAAACAATGAACGGCATTTAATTTAATGTTAATCTTTTTAATTTCTTCAAACAGTTATTACCCTGTTCTTAATTTGCGGGAGTTTTTATTGCTTCTTCCCCGAATTTTGCACGTATTATTTTTATTAAAAGCAATATCGAATTTTCTTAAGTTTACTACTTAGTAAAAGCATTTTAGACGCATTTTGCTGCCTGATAAACGACCCGTTTATTTATATAAAGCGCTTGTTTTGTGACAATACAACTGCATTGCTTTGTAGTTTTTTAAACCTACAACCTAAACAATAAATGAATAAAAATCTGTCAATGCAACACTGAGTGCAAAATACTAGTAAAAACTGAGACAAACACGCAAATCAAAATAATCTACAGAAAAACACAGGAGGAATTGCAAACAATTTTTTTTAATAAAAAAGTGTGAATTTTACAACTGTTTAGACAAATATTACTTGGCTCTTAAAAATTTATTGGTCGATTTTTTCATTCTTACAATTTAAATTGCCTCTTAACTAGCTAATTATTTATCCACGTGCATAATTTATTAGAAAGATCTTGTCAGAAATCATAGGGAAATACCATTTGGCAATTGAAATTGGCACTTTAGTAGTATTGACCATTGAAAATTGTGCATAAACTTCTGACAAAATCATCATAATAAATACTATAAAGGTACATATAAATAACCAGAACCGCAAATTTAATAAAAATATATTTAAACTTAACGTTAACAACAGCTAAATATTTTATCACCAGATTGCACACCAAAATCGCTGAAAAATTCTGCCGGTGTCAGTATTTTGATTTACGGCCATTTTTCGTAATAGCAAATTTCTTGTCTTGGTATCGAATAAAATCACATTTTAAATACGTTTTAGCAAAAAATGCAGTGTTTTGCCAATTTTTGTAGACCAGTTTATCCAAACAACATTCTACATACACTAAAAAAAGGTGGGAAAAAGTTAAAACACATTATTTCAAATTACCGATTTCTTCAATTAGATGATAACTGTATTTCAAATAGCTTTCAAGCTCTAATATAAATCCCCGTATAAAACTGTGTTTACTGTATTGTCATCAGAGGCTTTTATTTTTATATCTTTGACACCGTATTATTTGCTGATGCTCTCACGCCCAATTGAATCCAGAGTGTCGTTCGAACTCGAACGAGTTAAATCTTCAAGTTCATCCATGTGCTTTTGCCTTTTGCGGACGTTCCAATGCAGGCATTCGGCTAGCGAATCAAACCAATCGGAGATCTGATCTTGAGCGCATATACTGGGTACTGGATAGATGGATGTAGTCACTCTTAAGCTGAGAAAGTGATTGGAATTAGTGCTGTACGGATACGATTATATTTAACTGCGGTTTTTCCTGCAACTTTCGGCGGATTATTATCTTAGCAGATAAAATCTGACCTCAAGCCCGAATCGCATGTTACATGGAAACCTACCTGTCCCCATGCAGGAGTTCTTGCCTGCACCGTCCATCAAACGAGACCCATGAAGTGTTGCGACTTTCCGGCGATACTGAAATCTGGAGAAAAACCTTGTCATGGCAGGCAAAAATAACATTGAAGACCTTACTTTTAATTCCACTCCTGCTGGAACCACAATTGGCCTAAAGCTCAAAGAATGAGGGCAAATTGGCGTCACCATAATGGCAGGAACGCTTGGATGGATCATTGAGGCTCCCGCGGCAACTGCATAGGCCGTACTTCCTAAAATACATTCAAAGTAGACCGATTAGTCGACGCAATTGTAACGGAAAAAAATAATAAATTTACTTCGTCATGTGTATCGATCTCAATTACCACAACCGCTTCAATTGACCAGATACTGTAAGTGGCTTGAACTGAACTAATGGGAAATAATTGCCATAAACCTACCAGTTGGAGTGCTAACTATTAGTCCATCCCCTTGAACAGACGTGATGTGTTTTCCATCCAAAAACAAGTCGATATTGGACAAGTATGGACTGGGGCCTCGATCAATCACCACTTCATTCAACACCAGAAAGCTGCTGGGTTTATTTTGCTTGTTGCCTTCCGATTCGGCTACACTGTCGCTTTGCTTCATTACAATGCACCGCAATCGGCTCCTCAACGTTAGAGCCGCATGTCCTGAACGGAAAACAGACAATTATTGAGGGCTGCAACTGGTTCCGCTAGCCTTCACTTACCTTCCAATACATTATTAACTTGCTCTTGGAAGTTGTCGAACAAAAATGGGGTCAGAAACCCTAGAGAGCCTAAATGGAAAGCCATAACAGGAGGCACCGATTGCTGGAACAGCTGGCTTGCATATAACAGCGTGCCTAAAATCAAATACATAAACTGCCTTAGTGGAAAAGGGAACAACTCGCTGATAATTAATGTGTGGAACTGCAAAAATCAACCATCAGGAACGTGACTTACCATCACCTCCAAGGCACACGATAAAATCAATCTTATCCGTAAGGTCGTCTTTTCCTAGCCTAAAGGTCATGAGTCGGTCCTTCACAGAAGGAAATTCGGAAAATTGTTCTAGGTGAGGATCGTCCATTACAGCGGCCTCCACAAACACAACCATTCGTTTTTCCTTTAAAAAAATGCTCAATTATACGTTTATTAATGGAGGCCCTAAACATGCGTTTTCTCTTGAACGCTATTCGTTAACATTTAAATGTTGTTATTACTCAATTCAAGGCTTTCGCAGCGATCGATTCAAACTCATCAGTTCAAGCAATGTCGGCGAAAAGTTCACCACATTGCACTTAAAATGTTTTCCCTTTTTTGAATAGGTATTTAAATTGGCTCATTAGGTAGATTATTTGCCTTTTATTTTAGCTGTTTTATTACTGAGACTGTTATGTTTTTCCCAAAAATACACGTCTCACTTTTCATTACTTTCGATTATTATTATACAGGGTTATTCACGCTATACGGCACGGACGTTTGCGACTAGCCCGTTTGTTTTTTGCA